GAGGAGCAGGAGCGAGAAAAGGAGGAGGAGGAGGAGGAGGAGGAGGAGGAGCGGGAGCAGCGGGAGGGCGAGGAGGGGCATCGGACCGGCCCGGCCTCCCACGAAAGCCAGGGGCACGGCCCTGGCAGCCAGGGGGGGGGGGGGGGGCGAGGCCAGACGTAGCTCAGCAGCCCGGGGCGCGCTCGCCCTGCGGGCTCGCCTGAGCCAGGGGGACGGGTCAAAGATCCACAGGGGCTAGCTGCAGGCGCCGTCTCAGAGGCCGGGATGCGAAGCGGCGCCGTCGAGTTCGCTAGGGAGCCTTCTTCGCGGGGGGGAGAAGATGTTGTTCTGCTTGGGCCGGAGGCACTTGACCCCCTTGGCACCGGGGCGCATGAGCAGAGCGGGGAGGGAGAGGTGAGGCGTGTTTTCCCCGTTTGGACCGTCCATTGTGCTTTACCTTGGCGTCGGAGTGGATCTGCGGGCTGGGAGGGGCAGGGTTGAGCTGCCAATATTTTCGCTCCGCAAGCGCGCTTTCTCTTGCACGGCGGGGCCTCCTGCGCTTTCAGGGAACGCGTTGCGCGTCAAGGAGGAAGGAACGATCAACGTGTTTTTCCGTTACATCCCTGCTTAGAGCAAAGAAACTCTTACGCTATGTAAGATAATGGCCTTCACTCCAAACGTTTTCTTAAGCAGCAGTCCGCGCTTAAGAGATACGAAAATCCTACGATAAAAGAAGCTCCAAGAAAACGCCCAAGGCCCAATCCAGATTCTTCGAACCGAAATCTGGAGTCCACGAACGATGCTGCTTCTTCATCCGTGTTCCGTGCAAGAGCACGCCTCTGCTGGCATCGAAGCAAATCAACAGGCAGAGCGGGGGGGGGGGCGAAGTGGCGGCTGTAGGGAAGCGATGGGCTGCGCTCTCCCCGCTCAGACCGTCCATTGTGGCTTGCACTTTCCCCTTGGCGTCGGAATCCAGGAGCAGCTGGCCGCCTCTGGGAGGCGACTCAGAGAGGCATGGGGCCGGATCGGGTGGGCCTCTTGGAGCCAACTGTGGCCATCTTGGTGGCATAGGGGTGTCGTGGGTCCTCTCGCAGTCTATCTTGGTCCATCTTGGTAATGTATGGGTGTCCTCTCGGATCTCATGGGCCTCGCTGGGTGCCTCTGGTGCCACCAGGGCGCGAAAAAGGAGCTGATGCATATTTACCTTTCTCTCACGCGCGGGGCCCTGCAATGTAGAAGAGACAACGTCGGGCTCCAGCTTCTCCTCCCACATCTCGCTGAGCAGCGCCATGGCCTGCTGCCACTGCTCGCCCTTTTCGCACGCGCTGATCCCAGCGTTGTAAGTGATGACAGTAGGATCCAGTTTTGTCTCTCTCATTTGGCAGATCAGGTCCAAAGCCCGCTGCCACTGCTCGCCCTTCTCGCACGCGCTGATCCCAGCGTTGTAGCTGATGACGTTGAGCTCCAACTTCGCCTCCCACATCTCGCTAAGCAGCGCCAGGGCCCACTGCCACTGCTCGCCCTTCTCGCACGCGCTGATTCCAGCGATGTAGCTGACTAGGGCTGACCCGTGGACTCCGTCCACGATATCTTCCTGAAATGATTCTCGGAGGAACGGGCTCCTGGAGGGGGGGCACAGGACGTGGCCATTTATGACAGCTGGGCCGTTTGAGCTCGCGAGGCTCTGGAAGGCGAAGGCTTCGAGGTGATGGCAAGATGCCTGGAGGAGAGCGTGGATTCGACGGGGCGCCCGAGCGGTGCGATGGCCAAGATGGCTCAAGATGGCGTTCAGAGCGGTGAGAACGGCGAATGCTGCCCAAGATGTCGGGGGTCCGAGCGGCGCGAATGGCCAAGACGGTCCAAGATGGCTCTCAGAGGGCCTACGAGGGCCACTATCGCTTACTGTAGGCTCGCTCTGGGCGCCAAAGGGCCCTGCGGATCATTTTTCTAAGAAAAAGTGCTTGCAGACCCCTTTGGGGGCCACTTGACATGGCATGGTGACGTTTTCGTGTCGTGACGGCTCATGTGGGTTGCATGCGCGGCTGACAGCTGGGCCGTTTGAGCCCGCGTCGGTGGTCTTGGAGCGGTCTTGGGGACCTCTTGGCCCGTCTTGGAGCGCAGGGACGGCGAAAAGGGCAGAATGCGAAAATCATAGAAAAACACAATGGAAATCGACGATTTCTCCCGCTCGGGGCCCTGCTGGGAAGCCTCTTGGGAGGCCTCTTGGGGCATTTTGGCCGCCTCTGGGGCCGTCTTGGCCCAATCTTCGGCGTCTTGGGCCCATCTTGGGGCGTGGGGCGTCCCGGGGCTCTCTGGGGCCGTCTTGGGCTGTCTTGGGGCGTCTTGGGACCGTCTGAAGGCCCTCTTGGCCCGTCTTCAGGCCCTCTTGCGGGCCTCGTCGGTGGTCTTGGAGCGGTCTCGGGGACCTCTTGGCCCGTCTTGGAGCGCAGGGACGGCGAAAAGGGGAGAATGCGAAAAACATCGAAAAATACAATGGAAATCTACGATTTCTCCCGCTCGGGGCCCTGCTGGGAAGCCTCTTGGGAGGCCTCTTGGGGCATTTTGGCCGCCTCTGGGGCCGTCTTGGCCCAATCTTCGGCGTCTTGGGCCCATCTTGGGGCGTCCCGGAGCCCTCTGGGGCCGTCTTGGGGGCCTCTTGGGGCCCTCTTGGCGCGTCTTGGGCCCATCTTGGGGCGTCCCGGGGCCCTCTGAAGCCGTCTTGGGGGGCCGTCTTGGGCTGTCTTGGGGCGTCTTGGGACCGTCTGAAGGCCCTCTTGGCCCGTCTTCAGGCCCTCTTGCGGGCCTCGTCGGTGGTCTTGCAGCGGTCTTGGGGACCTCTTGGGCCGTCTTGGAGCGCAGGGACGGCGAGAAGGGGAGAATGCGAAAAACATAGAAAAACACCATGGAAAGCGGCGATTTCTCCTGCTCGGAGCCCTGCTGGGAAGCCTCTTGGGAGGCCTCTTGGGGCATTTTGGCCGCCTCTGGGGCCGACTTGGCCCAAGCTTCGGCGTCTTGGGCCCATCTTGGGGCGTCCCGGAGCCTTCTGGGGCCGTCTTGGGGGCCTCTGGAGGCCCTCTTGGCGCGTCTTGGGCCCATCTTGGGGCGTCCCGGGGCCGTCTTGGGGGCGTCTTGGGGGCCTCTTGGGGCCCTCTTGGCGTGTCTTGGGCCTGCTACACTTTTTGGTCCGAATCGCCCTTCTCGCACGCGCGGGTCCCTGCATTGTAGTATAGACTAGTGTGAACCCGTGGAAAATCCACGGCCTGCAGATCCAGGCGTTGGTCCCGAACGCGCACGTGTCGGAAGTGCTGGAAGCGTCAAAAGTAATGTGTTTTTGCTAATCGCGCGAGGCCTGGGCGCGATTAGCAGAAACACGTAGGTTGTCAGACACAATCAGAGTAAGGGGGCCCGAACGATCTTACAGAGTCCCTGTGCGCGAGAAGTTCGATGTGGGGGGTGGACGCGTGGGGGCCAGAGTTGGGCGTTACGTTGGGGGGCCTCGTTTGAGGGCCACGTTGGGGGGTCTCGTCAGGGGGTCATGATTGGGGGCAACGTTCGCGGCCCTGCCGGGAGCCATGTTTGGGGGCCGCGTGCGGGGTTCGGGGGCACATGTGACGGTCGCGTTTGAGGGTGCGGGGTTCGGGGGCAGATGTGACGGTCACGTTTGAAGGCAATGGTTGGGGGCTGTGTGTCTTGGGGCCACGTTTGGGGGCGCCTGGGGGCTACGCGTGGGGTTGACGTTCGGGGGCCACGCTTACTGGGGCGGTAGGGGCGACCTTCGGAGGCTTTGTGTGGGGGCCGCCTTTGGGGGTCCCGTTTGGAGGCCACGCGTGGGGCCGACGTGGAAGGGGCCACGTCCAGGGGCGATCCCAGAAAGCAGTCGGGGAGCCCCGGGGGCACTGACCTGGAAGCGTGAAAAGGAATGGGTTCTTGCTAATCGCGCTGGGACTGTGCGCGATCACCCCAAACTCAAGGCATGGTCCACGGGGCCCTCGAGGCACGTCTCTGGGGCATTTCGAGGCCGTCGTGGGGCTCTGGCCGGATCGGCTTCGGCTCTCTTGGACGTCTTTAGGGCCGTCCTGGAGCGATGTGGGGGTCCGGGAGCCGTCGGGGAGCGCTCCAGGGGCGTCCTGGGGGCGTCGGGGAGCGGCTCAGAGCTCTGGCAGGTCGAAGCCAGCAGAACCGAGAGAGCAGCGGTGAGGCCCCCGATACAGCCAAGGGTGCGGGTACTGGTATACGTAGGGTCCCCGAACCGGCTGTAGTGGCCTGCGGGCAATCTCGCCGAGGGCCTGGGTAATGGGTAAGAGATCTCGTGGATGTTGGTTAGGATCTCGTGGTTGGCCTCTCGGGAGCCTCTGGGAGACAGTTTGGGGGCTTCTTGGTAGCAGTTTGGGGGCGTCTTGGGGCCTCTTGGGCCTTCTTTTGGGGCCTCTTGGGGGCCTTTTGGGGCGCTTGGCGGCCTCTGGGGGGCCTCTTAGAGCCTCTGTGGGGCGTCCTGGGGCCTCCTGGGGATGTCTCGGGAGCGTCCCGGCGTTTCTTTGGGGCGTCTTGGGGCTTCCTGGGGGCCTCTAGGGGTGGAAGCCTCAATTTTTCGGTTCCGGGTCCCTGTCTTGGGCCTCTCTTGGAGCCTTCTTGGGGCCTTCTTGGGCCCTCTTGGGCGACTCCTGGGCCGTCTTGGGGGCCCTCTTGGGCCGTCTTGGGGCCGTCTTGAAGGCCTCTTGGGCCGTCTTGGAACTGTCTTGGGGGCCTCCTGGGCGGTCTTGGAGCGTCGGAAAGCCGAAAAAGCGAGAAGGCCAGAAACATCGAAAAAAACAGTGAAAATCAGTGAAAATCAAAGATGTTGGCTTCTGCGGCCACTCTTGGAGGTACACTTCGAGCGCTCTGGGGGCCTCGTGGAGGCGTCTCGGGCCGTCTTGAAGGCGTCTTGAAGCCATCTTAAGCGTCTCGGATACACTCTTGGACCGTCTTGGGCCGTCTTCGGGACATCCTGAGGCCGTCTTGGGGCGATCTGGGAATCCTGGATCAGTCCGCGAGCGGTCCGGGGGCCTCCCGGGCCCGTCGGGCAGCGGCCCGGAGGTTTTCCGGGCGGCCCGCGAGCTCTCTGGGCGGCCTGGGGCGCTGCCACTGCTTGTACTTCTCGCGCGCGCTTCGCCCGGAATTGTAGTACAGACTAGGGCTGACCCATGGACCTCGTCCACGACATCTCTCTGGAACGGTTTTCGGAGGAAGGGCGGAGATTGTGCCGAAAACCAAAAAAAGCACGTCGGCGGCTGGGGCGGCGGCAGCGAGACCGCGACTTCGTGTCCGAGCTCTAGCAGCGCTCCAGCAGCTTGGCCGTCGCGGGGCAGCCGTCGTCGCCGTCATCGTCGGCGCCGTTGTCGTCGCCGCCGCGAGGCCGCCGTCGTACCCGTCGTAGTCGGCGTCGTGGTGGTGGCGGTGGTCGTCACATCGTTTGGAACGTCGGCCCAAAACGGCAGAAGACGGTCCAAGATCGCGTCAGACGCCTTCCAAATAGCCCCATACAGCATGTGGGACGTGTGCCCCAAACGGCCCCAGACGGCCCAAGATCGCGTCAGACGCCTCCAAAATGGCCCCATGCTCGCCCAAGAGGCACACGAGAGGGCTCAAGAGCGAAACACGCATGGCCCCAAGAGGCCGCTGAGAGGGCTGCAGGCCGACAAGAAGGGCGAGGGATTTTGGGCCAAATCTGGCAGGGAGCGCCAAACACGCGTCAAGAGGGCCGAGGATCTCCATGGTGCGCAAGGAGCCGTTTTGGAACCATCTTCGGGCCGTCTTAGGCCGTCTTTGGCTGCTGTTGGGGCTGTCTTTGGTGCTTCTTGGGCCGTCATCTTGGGGCCTCTGGGGATCGTTGAGGAGCCTCTCAACGCTTCTTTTCGGCCTCCTGGAAGCCTCCTGCCCATGGGTCGATCTTGGGCTATCTCGGGTGCCTCTTGGGCCGTGTTGAGGCCTCCGGGGCCGTTTGGGGGTTGTCTGGGGCCGTCTCGGGCGTCTCTGGAGTAATCAAGGGACCGTCTGGGTGTCGTCTTGGGCCGTCCTGGGCCGCTCTTGAGGTTGTCTTGGGTACCCCGTGGGCCGCCAGGCGCGCCTCAGGAGCCGTCCTGGGGCCATCTTAGGACCCTGTATGGCCGTCTTGGACGCTACGAAGAGGACAAGCCCCGAAACTGCTAAAATGCACGTTTTCCCAGGAAGGAATGGGGCGATTTTTCGGTGTTCGGGCTCTCTTGGGGCTCGTCGTGGAGCCCACTTGGAGCGTTTTGGAAGCCTCTTTGGCCGTCTGGAAAGTGTCTGAGGCGTTGTCGAGCGCCCTGGGCGCGTCTCGGAGACCCTCTTGGACCGTTTTCGGCTGTCTGGGGGCCCTCTTGGGGGCCTCCTGGTGCGTCTCGGAACGCTCTTGGGCCATCTTGGAAGCGCACCGAGGCCTGCTGGGGCTCGCAGGGGCCGCCGGAGGGGGCCGGTCCGCTGCCACCGATCGGCCCATCCGCAAGCGCTGGGGCAGCCATTTTAGGAGAGATGATACTGGGCTCCAGCTTCGCCA